ACTGGAAACGCAGGCTGGGCTGGCCTACATGCGCATGCCACCAACGAGGATGACATGATTGCCATTCCTTTTACTTCTGGCACTACATCTCGCCCCAAGGGTGTTGTTTACACCAACCGCGGAGCATATCTTGCCACTGTAGGCAATATCATTGAATCCGGCCTTAACAATGGCCGCTGCAAGTACCTGTGGACTCTGCCCATGTAATTCACCCCAATCATCTCGGAAGGTACTATTATCAGCTCGATTTACTAACATCACGTCCTTCTTACAGGTTCCATGCCATAGGTTGGACCTTTCCATGGGCCGTTGTCGCAGTTCGCGGCTTGAATGTCTGCTTGAGAAAGATTGACTACCCATTGATATGGAAACTTCTTAAAGAGCAGGGCGTTACACATTTCAACGCGGCCCCTACAGTCAACACTCTGTTAGTAGCAGCAAAAGAGGCCGAAAGACTCCCGCAAGAGGTACGCGTAACGGTCGCAGCTAGTCCGCCAAGCGGACATCTCTTTGAGCAGATGGTGAGTGCATCCAGAGACTTGGAGCCTACAAGCATCTGCTAATCCTCTGTAAACAGACCAATCTCAATCTCATCCCGGTTCATGTCTATGGAATGACTGGTAAGTATTTGGACCCTTTCCATGCTCAGACCCACTCTTGTGCTCATCTACTCACCTCAATTATCTAGAGACGTATGGCCCGCTCACCAAATGCTATATCTTGCCAGAGTGGGATGATCTTCCGCCACAGGAGAAATTCGCTAAAATGGCCCGCCAAGGCCACGGCTTCATCACCAGTCTTCCGATTCGGATAGTCAAGCCCGATCAGCCCAACGGAGCGTTGGTAGATGTGGCCAAGGACGGCAAAGAAATTGGCGAGATTGTCTTCTTCGGAAACCTTTGTGCCAAGGAATACTACAAAGACCCCGAAGCCACGCGGAAACTTTTTGAGGGAGGCGGTCTACACTCTGGAGACCTGGCCGTATGGCATCCCGATGGCAGCGCCCAGATTCTAGATCGGGCCAAAGATATTATCATCTCTGGTGGCGAGAATATCTCGTCAGTGGCACTGGAGAGCATGCTCGCTGAGCATCCCGATATTCTCGAAGCCGGCGTCGTATCTGTTCCAGATTCCCACTGGGGCGAACGGCCCAAGGCATATATAACAGTCAAGGAGGGGAAAGACTTGGTTGGCGAAGACGTCATCAACTGGGCCAAGCATCAGAGTAACATAAGCAAATTCATGGTACCGAGAGAAGTGGAGATTGTCAAGGAGCTACCCAAGACAAGCACAGGCAAGATTAAGAAGAATGACCTGCGGGAGTGGGCTAAGACGGGGCGCAAAGAATAAAGAGAAGGCATGGGAAGTACAGATGAAAATTAGCGTTCTTATTTTCTCTCTCTTTTCGGGACTACAAGGCAGCCCGGTTGTTAACTGCCTTTCACACCTTTTGAAGTATGAGACCTATGGCCTCTTTGCCGCACTTAAATCATCCAGATAGACGATATTAAGCGAGCGAAAGATAGAAAAACTAGGAGATGAAGAGACAAAAAAAAAAACTTGATCACAAATTATGATGAAAGTAGAGAAACATAGAGCTATTAAAAAGGTATTATTGTAAGCATCCAACTTTAATTAGTGACACACGCGAACGTTTCCCCTTCGTATTGCTTTGTCCTACCTGAACAAAAGCAACCGTAAATCTTTTACATTAACTAATCTGACAAACTATTCCAATAGCTTCTAATAAGTCTCATGGTCCCTTGTGAAAAGCAAAATCTGCCGCTTAAATCTTGATGCCACAGGGCAAGTCAAGAACAGAGTCGAACCAGCGGTCGAACCAGGATCCGCCACGAATTCCATCTTGAATGTGCAGCGCCCGCTATACTTGACCTTGACCTAGATACGTATAGGGAGCTTAATACCAAAGTATGGTTCTATTACTATCTCTATTAACAGATATATCTAATAATCCAGATACAATGGATCTCTTTGAAGACGAACTTCACTGCGTGAGAGCCTCATATGCAATTGTCAACCTGATTAGGTCCCTTAACTACGGAAGGAAGCCTTTATAGATCCAAGAGGATGCTTTAGAGCAATTTTTCAGGAGAACGAGGCGCATTACCGAGGAAAAAGTAGTAGAAATTACAACTAGCTGGCCCCTCCAAAAGTCCTTAGGCCAACCCCAGATGATCTTTGAGCGAGCACCTGGCCGCCAGTTGGGGTCAAGTCTTTGCAGCTGGCCACAACTGACACAAAGAGTCGCAGGGAGACAGAGGATTTAGAGCGACAGTGACTTCAGTCACTCATATATTTTGGCGGGCAGTCCGTGGTACAGACTGCCCACTGGACTCGTAAAAACAGCGTTTGTGCGAGCCACAGGAGGGACTGTAGGATTTCAGAAGATACTGCATTACTTTCAAAAGTATATTTTCCCTCGTTTCAACATTAGTTTCTAGATCATTACTCCTCTTTCAACCTCACTTCTCACTCACATAGAGGTAAACTCTTCCTTTCCTTTGAAGGTATTTATTTCGTCTTGGTGCTCATGACCACATACTCCGAATACTAATTCCCATTTCAGACTTGTTACCGCTTGAGCATCGACACGGTCTCTTCTCCTGCTCTACTCGGTCTCAACGACCCGATCAACGGACTTTCAACTACTTTCGTCCTGCTCCTAAGTTATTCCCAAAGTGCCGAGGTGTCAGACTCTTTAGAATTATCACCATTTGAGCATCTACACACTCCACCTCTCTCCTTTGCCAGGTCTCAGCCACCGACCTGCCTGCTTTCAGCAACATGTCCTCTCATCCTATACCTGGAACTCAGGATTACCCTCCCCAGATGATTGATCCTCTCTACAATCCCCTAGAGCATCTTACACCCGCCATGCGACGTTGCTACCTCCACCATCAGCGACATTGGTTAGCCTGGTTGGTCGAGACAGGAAAGATTAAGATAGCTGATGGTGTGTCCATTTACATAAATCAGCGAGGCTTTATCACGGATACTTTACCCGTTGAAAGACTGAGACTTCCACCGCCGCTGATATTGCACGGAGCGGGAGCACAAGAGAGACTTGAGCAGCAAATGGAAACGAAACACGTTAACTTCATCGCTGAGCCCGAGCCTGAGCCACAAGGACCATCCTCTGTGGCCAATTTAATCATGTCCACTATCTCCAACGCCCCCGATATGCGGTATGTTGTTTGGAATCAAGTCTTTGAGACTCTACGCACTGCGCCGCCCGCAGCACAGACGGCGCCCTGGCTGGTGGATTTACTTCGACCTGCTATCCAACAGGAAGAGGCCATATGGGCATACATGGAGGACTTTGAGGAATCAATGTCCATAGACAGCTTGAGACGACTGGCGCCGGAACAATTGGTTTTTCGAATCCGAGACCTAATGGGTCTCGAAGCTACAAGTGAAGATCCAGTTGATACTGTGAGCGCTGCATACCCTGACCTGGCCGAGGCGTACTTGGAGCGCATGATAGCCATCCCCCAGCACATCGCCGACTATGGGGATGAACTCAATACCGACAATATGAAGAGGCTGACGGTTGCAATATTCAAAGGTTTTTGGGAAAAGCTCATGAGCGAGTTGAGGAAAGGCAAGTTAGCCTACGCGATGGGAGAGCACCTTGGCCTCTTGGAAGGCACTCGGCGCCCCGGTGAGCCTGTTGTCATCGATTTGACCTAGAGCAATGGGATCGTTCTACCTGTGTCCATTGGAATGGAAGGGACTCAAGTTGTTATTCTGTCTTCATTTCATTTACTTTTTCGACTCAAGGCGACTCAAGGCGACTCATTGGACTCTGGCCGGTGCAACGTATTGAGACTTTTTCCGATTCATGGAACTCAATGGTACTTGAGTTGTTGCTCTTTCTTTCCTTTTCTTTTTTTATTTCTTACTTTTCCGGTTCTTGGAAACCGACGGGACTGCAATGCGTTGAGAATTCAGAATGGTATATCTTTTTCTTTTCTGGTGGTTTATAGGCACCGATGGGACTGATTGGCACAATGGAATTGGGACTCTGGATATGATTATTTCTTTCTTTATTTTTTGTTTTTGGTTCATGGGAAACGACGGGACTCTGATTAACCCAAACGAATATGAAATGGCATTTCAGAGCAGGACTTTTTCTTTTTTTCTTTTCGCAGTTCTATATATTTCATCTTACCTTATTTGCAGATGGTTGGGACCCAGAAACTTTCTTTTACGGCTTAATTACTTAGGAATATTGTTTCTTTTGAGAGGCCTAAGGATTGCCTCCTGATAGCTACACAATTCAATCAGGTTTGCTACGAATGCGTCTGATTCGTATGCCACTCTTCTGTTAAGATCTTAAGAGGGGCTTATTTATGTCCGTTATCACAATTTGGAAGTCTACCAGCCATGATTTAAGCCATTTGATTTGTATGAGTCCTGGCCTTGATGGACTCCACAAAAGTAGTGGATCATCGTTGGAGCATGAAGTACAGCGATTAGATGTTTATGTCGGCGATGACCTGGGTACCAATCTCTTTGGATAGATTGCCGAGCTTCTTGTACCTCTTTGACTTCGTCGCCTATTCCAAATCAGCAGTTAGTCCTCGGGTGAGATACTGCGTCTCCAATTAAAACTTGAAGCATTCCTGCGATATCATGGGTGTAGTGTTTTTCGACCATGGTTCTAAACTGGTCTTTTCTCTTTTTTTTCTAATATATACTATAAGAATACTTATTATACTCGGCGTGCTTTACTATTCCATGTCCTGCTGGATCAGGAGCTACAACATGAAGGGGAGTGGTTGTTAATGCTTTATTTCCCCATAACAACAGTATACAGCTTTCATAATGCAACTTCATAATACACCAATAAAACATCACTCTTCACATCAGTACTTGCGCAAATCCTTTTGTTAAATGTACTCCATAGAATAACCCGAGTTCGAGTAAAAAAAAAAACCATTTCTAGCAAAAGAACTGGTTACCAAAAAGAAAAAAATTAGTCGAACCGGGAATCGAACCCGGATCTTGTGCGTGTGAAGCACATGTACTAACCGCTATACGATTCGACCTATGAGAAATTATTTCATGGTGGAGCATCTGCTAAACAGAGATAATAAAGGATAATGTGGGGTGGAGGGCTAGATCGTGAGAGTTTTTATGGAGCTATACGATTCGACCACTAACCACAGCTTTTGTGTTAGTGATGGATGGGCTAAAACGGTACTCTAGTTAGAGGGCTGCCACCCGACATCTCCCAACCTTAACTAAATGAAGTATATTAGATACATCCAACATCTTAGAATAGCTAGAAGAATAAAGCCTTTTCACTCCTCTCAATCTGATGTTTGTGTTCGATTGCAACCAATCGGATCAGGGAGATCGGCTCACTTAATTAACAGGTCCGCAACGATACACAATACATGAGCTTCAAGAGCTATAATATACAAACTAATACCACTTTAATACTGAACCACTGAACTTGAAGTCTTTGTTAAAAAAAAAAAAAACAAGCGACTAACTACATTAAAAGGAACAAAAACAGTAGCAATCACAACGCACCCATACAATAGGCAGCAATATCTTGTGTCAGCTCGCAAGGCATTTGCAGAAGCTCATATCAAGTTTGCCATAAGCAAGAACCACAGAGGAATTGATCAGCGTCTGCCAAATACGACGTCTGAAATACTGGAAACTGATGCCAAAGATCTTTTCCGAACCTTGAAGAGCTCATTATACATAAACGGTAATCTGGTAACAAGACTTTGTGATTACACTGGGATTCCACTGTCATGGTAAGAAGGACCTGGCCGTCTCTCCTTGGGAGCAATTTATTCATATGCCATAAAAGGAGATCACATTGCATACCGTTCAACGCTTAATATATGCTATATTGCAGCATCTACCAATATGGCAAGCGAAAGACACCCTCCTATCCTCTTGGCGCTCATTGCGGCATGGTTTAACAACATGAGAGAGAATGATCCTGAAACTCGCCAGGCCCAGCAGACTCTGCAATGTTGCCAGCCTATAGCACATTTTCCGCCTCACACTATCGCACGCTGATCAAATACAAAAGTGGGAACCGTGGCCACGGGAGCAACAGAAAGAGGCTCTTGAGGTAATGAGGACTGCAACCAAGGATCCCATTGTCGACGAGCTGCTATCTGGGCTCTCTGCTACTGAACTATTCCATCGCAACATTAGTACAATTCTTGGTTGAATTTTGTGTGAAACTCTAACATTGAGATAAACACTAGGCTTTGCAATGATGAAGCTTTATATTACTTCCCATTAGTGGCCTCCATTGTTCCTGCAGCCGTGTTAATACAGATCTAGTATA